TGAAGAGAGTAATTTTCTCTATTTATATTTAGTGTTTTCTATTTTAATTTATTTGTATAATAATTTTTTTTGTTAATTTTGAAATCTCGTATATGACACATAAATTGAAACCGAGAGGAATACCATATATAAGAGCGAATTTGAGGAGCTAGCTTAGGATCAGCCGGTTGATTGACCGATCTGCCCTTCTCCACAAATTTCCTCTATTTCATATAAACTAATTTTCTCTGTTTTATATTTAGTAATTTTCTCTATTTATGTTTGATGTTTTCTTTATTATAATTTATTTATTTTACTTTTCTTATTATCGTAAGAAAAAATTATTTATGCCACAAGAATTGAGACTGGGATAGTAACATATATTATTTGAAAATTAAGTTAAAAGTACTTTGAATTTTTTTTTTTTTACCAAAAATGAATGAATAATTTCTTGAGCTTTTATGGATACTCCCATCTCGCAAACCCATGAACATTCAAGAGCATTGTTTATCGAGTTAAAAAACATGTGAATCTAATACTGCAATAATAATATAAAGACATTTTAGTATAAGAGGAAAAGAATAACCTTGGATAGAGTCTTATGAAATCAAAAATATAAATTTTATAGGCAACCAAAAAAGTAAGAGAATACCATATATAAATATCTCAAATTTTTTCAAATTAAAATTTAGGTGTTATAAATATTAAAAGCATAGAAGTTATGAAAAACAGAAATTAATTAATATGTAATTAAATAGGAATTATGAATTAAAAATATTAAAGCAAATAAAGAATAAGAGGTCAAATATTAATTCAAAAATAAAGATAACGGATGGATATAGGAGAATTTAAGATATTAATCAATAAATAGTAAAATTAGAAAAACACTTTAAAAATAATTTTAAATATTAAATAATTAAATTAATTTAAAAAATAAAAAATTTCTCAAAAATTAACTTAACATGAAAATGAAGGGAGTTGTGAACACATCCATCCCTAATCTGCTCAGAATAATATTTTTTCTCATTTTTAATTTGTCCCGCCTTGCGCCACAAACATCATCCCCACATAATATAATATAAATTATTTTTTTAATTGAGTTTAATATTAAAAATAAAATTCATAAATATGAATTTGTGAAGTTATTAGTTTTAATTAAATTATTTTTATTTACTATCTTAAATATTCTCCATCTCATTTATTGTATTTCAAAATTCAAATAAATTTATCTTTGACATGTAAGTTTTTGATAGATCCTTTTAACATTTTGAATTATAAATTATTGTGACTTATAGTACTCTTCACGTAGTTTACAAATATATAAAGGAAAAAGAGTCTGATATACCCCTCAACTTTGTCATTTGGAGCTGAAACACCCCTCGTTATAAAAGTGGCTCATATATACCCTTATCGTTATACAAACGGCTCACATATAACCCTGCCGTTACAAAATGGCTCAAATATATCCTTCATTTAACGAAATTTTAAATAATTAGTTTTAAAATTATATTTTTTACTTACAATTTTTTTTAAAAATTATTTAGTGGTATATATGATTCTTCTATAAAAGTTCAAGGCATATTTTAATTTTTTCCATACATAAATTATTTTTTGACTTCTTTTATTATAATTATTTGAGTTTCTTATTCTTATTTTATTTTTTTCTATCATTTCTTAGTTTAAAGAAAAAAAATTAAACTATTTTTTTGTGTTTATTGTAATTTAATTTCGTATTCGAAAAAAAATTTGG